TACTTTTTTAAAATGTAATTCAAGTCAGCAGTTCAAGCAGCAATTTTTAAAATCAAATACTCTAACATAATATTATGCAAAGATATATTAAGTTGATAGTTAAATGCTGACAGATGAGTCCAAGAAAATATTAAGTCTTTGTTTTCCATAGTTAAACCATTATACTGCTAGGAGCAGAAAGCTCTGTACATACAGTAAAAACACTGGTGTTTATAGCATTCATTAGTCTCAAGTCTGAGCTGAGGTGTTTCAAGCACTGTTCATTGGTGCTGCATAGCTTGATAGCATACACAACAAGAAGTACATATATGGTGTGCTCAGAAAGAGGGATGTAGTCCAGTCACTGATGGCAGCATGGTGAAATTGTTGCCAGAAAAAAAAAAAAAAAAAAAAAACCTCAGATTCATCGTACACATGACTTTGATTTAGTGTTTGGTCATTGTGCTTTCAAAAACTTTTACTGTGGCCAAATATTTCATTACCTGTGAATTTAAGTAGACGATACCACTGGAATCACAACCCCCAGTTCAAGATGATTCCACTGGGCCATACATAGCTCATTCTTTAACGACTCCCTTCCTGTCCTGTTTTGCTTTGCAGTCCCCACACCCACTTGTTTTCCAGTGATTTCTTCAACAATAATGTGTGGGTACCTAAGTCCTTTTATGTTTGGTGGAACAAGCCAAACCAGGGCAAATGGTAAGGATGAGCCAAGCCAGCAAGCTGGCTAAGAAATTTGAAATTTGCCCTGGGATAAGGAAAAGATATTGAGGACAAATAATCGGTAGAGTCATATGACCAAATGTGTATTTGTATAAGCTTACCTGATGCTCCACAGAGTATGCACTTGAGGAAGGTGAATTTCAAAAAGGCATAGTCATAGGAAACAGTTATGAAAATTCTGGTGAGCAGGCATGGGGTTAAGTATTTAAATGTAGTAATGAATATAACAGCATCGTTTGCCCAGTGGGAAAATCCTAAAACACAGTGAGCAAAGAAAAGTCAGGATTAAAGGATGCATTTTGATTTTCTGGGTTATCATTTTGGCTTTCTGGGTGATATACTTCTGAGATATAATAGATGAAACTAGAGGAGGGGTCCAGGAGAGGAGGCAGGCTGAGGAAAAAGAGAAAATAACTTTGCTTCTGTGTGCTGGTGTGAAGTTGTGATGTTGAAACAAAAAGATTTTCGTGAGGCATTAGAGCGGTGCTGCCTATTCATACATCAATCTCTTCTCCTCCTCTCATAATTCTTCTCCAACGGAGTGACTAACTCACAGCCAGTCTCCTATTTATTTCAAATACTCTGCTGACCAGGAAGCCACAGGGCGATTTTTATTTACAAGGCAATAGTCAAAGAATCTGTGGATCCAGAAATAACTTGAAAGCTTCCTGCCATTTACTAAATCTCTGCATAACTGGCTAGTATTTCACAGTGATGATGTTTCTGCATCCATTGGAATGTGAGGCATTCCCTTCTTCCATGATCAAAAGGATTTCCCACCAAACCAGAGTTTAGTTCACAGCAGGAATATATATTCAGCCAGCTCCTGAACAAAGGGAATATAAACATTGAAAATGACTTTGGTAAGAACAACAGAGAACAGTTTGCAAAAGCCATTTCAAAGACTGTGCTCAGGCAAATGTGTATTTGTAGTCTGAAGGTGGAAATCATTTTTCTGGATAAAACACGTGTTTGTGATTCAGGAAGCTGAAAAATAAGAAGAGAGATATCCATCAAAGATGAATTTATAAATATACCATCATTAGTAGAAGACTGACATTAGAGTTTATAAGTGATTCAAATAATTGAAAATGCAGCTTTCCAGCTGAAGATGTTTCAGAATATGTCCTCTGAGTGACAGTCGTTAATTTATTTTGTAAATATAGGGGCACTCTAAAGCACAATATAATTGTATGTCTTTATGTCTTAGTGAGAGTATTTTTTCTGTCTTTACTAGCAGATTATCCATGATAGCTACTTTAATCTTTGGCTAGTTCCTATAAAGCTGAATATCTATCTATCCATCTTTGTATCTATCTATGTATCTATATATGTATCTATCTATCTATCTATCTATCAATCATCTATCTATCTATCATCTATCATCTATATGTATATATATAGTACTTTATTTAGTTGAAAAATAATTATATACACTTATGGAGTTCAATATGATGTATATACATATACATATGTATTTATACAATGTACAGCAATGAAACCAACATCTCCCCTATCATTTGTTACTATGAGATTCTCTTAAGGTTAGAAACAGAAAGATAAATACCATATGATCACACATCTGTTTTGAATCCAACAAAGTTGAGTGCATAGAAGTAGAAACAGAATGATAGTCACCAGAGGCTGAAAACCAAACAGTTCAACATAGGACATCAGTTTTTAAATTGTTTCTTTAAATTTTTTGCCATCCTCAAGATTATTCAAGTAAGCTACTTCATGTTGTAGCAAACCCAGTGTAAGCCTACGCTGTGTGAGTTAAGAGTTTGTAATTACTGCTTGGTTTCCTGAGGCTTTTGTGCATACCTCTAAGTCCATGACTGTATTGTGTAAGTCTTTTTAGATTAATATTCAAATTAGCACCTTATTGAAGTTCACACTGATGCATCTACAACTGCTTGGTTGGTGTCTTTTCTGTTGTCACCTTTCAACTATGAAATCAATAATTTAAATAATTATAAACTCTTATGCATGAGAAAAAATTATTCATTTGATATCTGATGACTTTACTTTGTAATAATTATATATAATAATATTTTCTAAAGTAAAAGAAATGAACAATATCATTTCAAAATTTCTGTGGTAGAGCCTGTTTCCTTAATCTTCTCTGAACCCTTGCTAAAGATAATAGGTTCACTTTGACAAAACAGTAATAGTAATTTGATTTTGTATTCAAAACATCTTATTTATAGTTATAATATATGCTTTTATTTAAAATATGAACGTCTGAAATTATTTATTTATTTATTCTTTCATTCATTCACTCATTCATTTACTTATTTAACCACTGTCACATTCCAGAATTGATTCAGAGGAATATATATTAACTACATAAAACAACTTGACCTCCCTTCATATCACTGATATATCTGTTGTCCCAAATATTTCATCATCACTTGATCTCATGAGAAATATAATCCTTGTACAATATTGTATTGATTCAACACTTCTAAAGTAAGGTCTTTCTGGAACTTATATATTTAGCAAAAATTCACATTATCAAGGCTGGTGAAAGAAGAACTGGAAGGAGAACTGACTCCACAAAGTTGCCTTCTGTCCTTCACATGTTTGTGGTGGCATGTCACACACATGCACATCACACACGAACACAATATATTTTTAAAATTAAAAATTCACATTAACCAATATCTTTCCCTGAGGCTCTCCTAAATTGACATTGTTTTTGTTTTTCTCACTGATTCTAGGAGGAATAAAAGCTAGATATAATACAGTCATATATGTTATCAATTGCCTACTCTTTCAAAACCCATGGAATTCAAATATGTCCTTGATTCTACATCCTATGTTATTTCTCCTCTTGCTTTCCTTCCTTTGGAGCTGAATGGTATTCTTAGCTGTGTATGTTATAGGTCAGCCCTGATTTCCTGTCTAATTCCCACTGATGGAGTCAACAATTCTAACAGTCTTTTCTCTTTTTGCCTTAGCCATCCCAAGCTCCAGCGTCCTCCCTTCTGCTCCCAGAGATGTGGTCCCCGTCTTGGTTTCTAGTCGCTTTGTCCGGCTCAGCTGGCGCCCACCTGCAGAAGCAAAAGGGAACATTCAAACCTTCACAGTCCTTTTCTCCAGAGAAGGTGACAACAGGTAGGTGCCATTAGCAAACTTCAGTTTCCTCCTTCTTCAATTTAATATCCATGTGGAAAATGACAGTGGAAGATTTTGAACAGCACCTGACTGTGTGAAATCTTTACCCTGTCCTTTGTTCCCGACTAAATGAAGATATGTACTAAGTAAAAAAGTAAAAAATAAAACTTTGTAAAACTTTACAGAATCAAATTAATTCACTCATATACAATATCCCTGACAATGGTAAGGATGCAACCACATGATATCAGTGGTATTTCTTTGATTTTATAGTGATGAGGACAATTATGAATTATCTATAACACTGACAGAACAGGGTATGTAAAGAACCATAATGACAGAACAGGGTTTGTAAAAAACCATGATGACTATACAGTGATTCCAGCTCTGGCACTGACACCATGTGTTCTGAGAAAACATGGACCTTTTTGAATTTTACTACAACAAAGAGGAGATAATGATACTTGCCTTATAAGGTTTCTATTAAAATTAAATTAAAATCGAATGCATAAAGGTCATAACATAGTGGGTTTTTTTTTTAATTATTTAATAACCACATGATTAGAAGCATTTCATTACAGCATTAACATATTCAATAACAATTTCCAGAGCAAAGATGCT